AACTAATTCAGAAATCAGTACAGCTGTAGTATACAAAATCAATACATAAGTCTATTGTTTTCATGTATAGCAATAAGCTTTCAGAAACAGAAATTAAAGTAACAATCCCATTTACAATTGCATCAAAAAGACTAAAATACTTAGGAATAAATTTAACCAAAAAAGTTAAATATCTGTGGTATTTATTATATTAATGAAAGAAATTAAAGAAGACAAATGAAAAGAGTCCATTCTCATGTACTGAAGACTCAGTATTATGTTAAGTAATGTCCATACTACCCAAAGCAATCTAAAAATTCAATGCAAATGCAATCCCTATAAAAATTCCCATGGCAGCCGAAACCGGTTTGGCTCAATGGATAGAGCGTCGGCTTAGGGACTAAAAGGTCCCGGGTTCGATTCCGTCAAGGGCATGTACCTTGGTTGTGGGCATATCCCCAGTAGGGGGTGAGCAAGAGGCAGTTGATTGATGACTCATTGATGTTTCTAACTCTCTGTCTCTCTCCCTTCCTCTCTGTATAAAATCAATAAAATATATTTTAAAAAAAAATTCCCATGGCACTTTTCATAGAAATCTTCCTATATAATAAACAAATAATATGCAAATTGAACATCCTGCCCTCTCACACGATGGCCGCCCCCATGTGGTCACAAGCTGGCCACAAGATGGGTGGCTGGTGAGGGCAATTGTTGGCAATCAGGCCAGCAGGGGAGGGCAGTTATGGGCGACGAGGCTGGCAGGGGAGGGAAGTTGGGAGCAACTAGACAGGCAGGGGAGGACATTGGGGGCAATCAGGCTGGCAGGGGAGCAGTTAGGTGTTGATCAGGCTGGCAGGGGAGTGGTTAGTGTGTGATCAGGCTGGCAGGCAGAAGCGGTTAGGTGACAACAATTAGGAACCAGAGATTCTGGATTGTGAGAGGGATGTCCGACTGTTTGTTTAGGCCCAGCGGTCGGATATCCCCTAAGGGGTCCCAGATTGGAGAGAGTGCAGGCTGGGCTGAGAGGACCCCGCCCCTCTGTGCACAAATTTCATGCTTCAGGCCTCTAGTTTAATATAAAGAAGGTAATATTAATGCCTCATTTTTAAGAAAAAAAAACACCACTCATTTTAAATCCATTTATTCTTAGAATCTATATTTACTATTTCTGAAATGTTTTAGAGTATGTAGTCTTTGCTTAAGAAAGATACTAAGGTAAAATTAGCTGGAAGGGGCCTACTGATGGTAGTGGAATATTTTATAGGACAAAAAAACAAAAAAACAAAAAACCAAACAACAAACAAAAAAGCAAATTAATTAAATTTATCAATTTTACCTTCAAACATTTAGTGAACTTCCTTAGCTCTAAAGAATTCCTATGTTAAAATGGTGATTATACTCACTCAATGTTTTTGTATCTACTAATTTATATCCCAATGTTTTCCAAAGAGGGTTTGAGGCATCAATGAAATAAAAATATTTTAAGTGTCAATTCAAAGGCCTATATAAAATTGGAGATCCATAGTTCTTTTTTTTTTTTTATATATTAGTTCTTATTGGACAAAAGATATACATACTTGCCTCCCAAATAATACATCCTCCTAATGACTCAGTGGGTCTAGTATTGAGCATCAGCTGCTGTTAGTATCTCAGGGAGCCAAGCGATGTGACCAGACAGGAGACCACACCTCACTCAGAAAGGCACCCTGAATCTGACCAAACCTCATCTACATCCAATTATAAATTTTCAGGAACTATACAGAGAAACACATTAAATTACACTGTAGAGATGCAATCAGTAACACCCAATCATGGGAATGCTATACAACAACCTAATCGCTTCAAAAAGTAAACTACAAAGAAAACAAACAAAAACTTAGAGGGGAGATATACGGGTTGAAAGTCACTTAAAAGACCTATCAACCACTCACAAAGTATGGACCTTATCTGGATCCTGGTTCCAATAAACAAACAATTAAAGAAACTATAAAATGTATGGGACAATGGGAAATCTGAATATTGACTGGTCATTGGTTATATTAAGACCAACAGAGGCCCAGAGCATGAAATTTGTGCATGGGTAAGGTCCCTAGGCCTGCCTGTGATCACGGCCATATTTCCTGGCTGCCCCACCCCCCGCTGCCACCCACCCCCCGCTCCCCATTCTCCATTGGGCGACTGGAGCCTGCCAGCTGGGGGGAGGGACAAAGAGGTAGCCTGTTCCCGCCCCCACTGCAGGTGGCCCTCTGTGTGTGGGGCAAACAATGGGAAGGGGGCCTTGGCCTGGTGCCACCTGTATTTCCGCCACCCACCCCCAGTTCCATTTGCCATGGAGCCCACTGGGGGGAAGGACCAAGAAGTGGTCAGTGTGTCTCACAGTGACTGGTGGAGCAGTTGCTCTGCCCTTAGGGTCAATTTCCATAGTACCCTTTTATTGTATAGAAATAGAGGCCCGATGCATGAAATTCGTGCAATGGCCTTGACTCTGGCCCCACCTGCCACCACCACAGCTGGGGGCCTCTGCCACCTCTGTCTCAGCACCCCTCCACCCCCCACCCCTGCTGCGGCTTTGTCCGGAAGGAAGGACATCCGGTCTAATTAGCATACTACACTTTCATCATTATAGAAGATTAGTGCCCAACTGGCATGGCTCTGTGGTTGAGCATCTACCTATGAACCAGGAGGTCATGGTTCAATTCCTGGTGAGGGCACAGGCCTGGTTACAGGCTGGATCCCCAGTGGGGGGAGTGCAGGAGGCAACCAGTCAATGATTCTCTCTGATTATTGATGTTTCTATCTCTCTCTAGCTCTTCCTTACACTCTGAAATCAACAAAAATATATTTAAAAAAAGAAAAGAAAGTACTGGTTTTCCAAGTTTAAAAGTCATTCACTTTTAGAGACATACTGAAAAATTCATGAATTAAATTACATATTTAGGATTTGTTTGAAAATAATATGAGGGGGTGAGAGTATAAGTAGATGAGGTTAGGGATAATACAAGATTGGCTAGGAGTTTATAATTGTTGAAGCTGGATGCTATTCTGCTGTTTTTTAAATACATGTATGAAGGCAATAATAAATAGCTGATATAAAGACTGATATTGAAATTAGTTCACACAATCACAAAAGGCTAAGCACAAACTTAATTATTCTCAAAGGAAATTATGTAAAAATGTCACTTCTTAGCTATGAGTTAACTATATATTTAGACCAAACATAGCTGCCCTCCTGCTGAAACGATAGTGTTAAGAAAAAAATGTGCAGCCCTAACCGGTTTGGCAGTGGTTTAGGTGGAAAGAGCACTCAGAACCAAAGGTTCAGAAGTGAGTGCCATGCCGAACCAGTTTGGCTCAGTGGACAGAGCGTCGGCCTGTGGAATGAAAGTTCCCAGGTTCGATTCCGGTCAAGGGCATATACCTTGGTTTCGGGCACATCCCCAATAGAGGGGTGCAAAAGGCAGCTGATTGAAGTTTCTCTTTCATCAATGTTTCTCTCTATCCTCTCCCTTCCTCTCTGTAAAAAATCAATACAATATATTAAAAAAAAAAAAGAAAAGAAAATAATGTGCTTTCTGTTTTACCTTATACATCATGAAAATAAATGTTTTATTCACTATTACTTGCTTCATCTGGCACTTTTTCTTTATCTAAAAAATTAAAATTTATTTTAAATGGACAAATTGAAGTGTACCCTCTAACATTATTGAGTGGGGGGGGGGGGCAAATAAACACACTCTAATCTATCAACAAATTATTTAAAGTCCTGGTATCCTGAAAATTAAATCCTTAAAAAAAAAAAAAAATCAAAACTCTCCAAAAATGATACTATGCCAAATAGGATTATGTTTAACCCCATGGATCCTTCTGACAGGGAAAAAAAAGGTTAAATGAAAAACACTGTCTAGATCAAATATTGTTTTTCCAGAACAAATTAAAAGTCAAAAGAGAATACTTGGAGTTGAGGGACTCAAGAACGGACATTGACCAGGGGGGACCTCCCAGTGCTGCTGTGCAGCTGCGGAGCCCTCAGGGCTGTGACCATGAGGCACCGGCCCAGCCAGCTCCCCGGCCTCAGGCTGCCCTCCTGCTCTGCACACTTCCTCCCTCTGCTGCCTGGCCCGGAGGCCTACTATCCCGCAACCAAGCTGGATCAGGTCTGTATTTTGCTTGGCTCACAACATTAATTTTTTTTTTTTTTAATTAGCCACTGCCAACGTTTAAAAACCCAGAGAGGGAAGTTAACAAATATGGAGTTCAGACATCTTTTTGGAACTGCTAGGTGAGGTCTGCTTCTCCAGGTTTCTGGCCGCTGTCTCTTCCACCTGGCTCAGCAGGTTGACTCCGAACCCCAGGCTGGCTAAGGTCTTTCCTGCACCCTGCCCTTTCCCCCTCTGGGCCTCTGCCTCCCTGGCAATTTCTCACACCCTTCAAGGCCAACTACAGCACCAACTGCCATCCTCTCACGCACAGCCCCTCCACTACCCGAGCACGAACCACACTCCCCACACTGACTGGGCGTGTCCGCCTTCACCACGCGCTCAGGCCCTCTGGAGGAAGGGACCCCATTATCATATTTCTGTCCCCAAGGCTCAGCAGAAAGCCTGACCTAAATAATGGAGACTTCAGAAAATGTCTCCTGAAAGTGTGGAAGGAAATTAAAGCTAACGCGTTATTAAAATGTAAGATTTTTATATCACAGCTTGTTCTGAGTGTTACCAAATAAAGGGGTCAAGGACATTAACATGTTTCAAAAATGAGAACAAGCATCCACCTGCTTCCATGTTTCACAAGTTAGTCAGAAGCCACTACGTGAACAGATAAAGCAGACAACAGGCAGGCAGGGTCAGTCATCCTCCGAACTGATGCTTTCTAAGCACTGGGGACAAAGCAGACAGCTACCTGTTTTCACTCAGCTGCATCCTAGTACTGGAGACAAAAATAAACAGGAAATAAATAGAACGCTGGGGAATGCTGGGGGGAGGGAGGGGATTTAAACAAAATAATTATTGAAAACCTAAGGGATGAAAGAGGGTCGTCGAGGAAGGCCTGGTGTTAAAGGAGACCTCTGGCCACAGAAGAACCAGAAGGAGCCAGCTGTGCCCAAACCCGGAGACAGCTCCAAGCCCCGGACACAGCAAGCGCAAAGGTGCCAAGGCAAACGAGCGGGCTGCCAGGTCCCAGCCCGTGAGAAGCCCGGGAGGGGAGGGGACAGCGGTGCTGGGTGCGAGCGGAGGTGGGCAGGGCCCGCCCTGGCTGGCGTGGGCCCAGGGCACAGAGCGGCAATGACAAGGCACTGGAGGGGACCTGATGGGGACCCGGGCGGTGAAGAGGGGGTTCCTGCCACATCCACACCGGCAAGAAGCAGTTGCAGCCCAGCTTCCCGCATCTGAGCCCGGGCTCCTGCCAGGCGCCTGCCCACACGCTCCCTGGGCCCGTCCCAAAGGGCAGGCATTCCCCCGCTTTCCCGAGAGGAGCACCGAGCCAGTGCCTCCGCCAACGTCGCGGGGACCAGGTCCCGGCCCCTGAGCATCCCAGCGCGGGTGCAGCTGCGGGCCCCCAGCAGCCCACGCAGGTCCCCGGGCCAGGCCGGGCCAGGCGGGCCGACAGCCGCGGGCGGGGCGACTGCGGCAGCCGGAGCCTGGGGCGTCGGCCGCACCGCAGAGCCGGGTCCCGCGCCCGCCCCCACAGAGGACCCGACCGGCGGACCCGGGCCGCGAGGCCTCCCGGCGCCCTCCCTGGCGGGCGGGGCAAGGCCCACGCAGCCCCCACGGGCCTAGACGGCCGCCGGGCTCACCTCGCCTCCCGCCGCAGCGCCGGGGACAGGGAGGGCGGGCGACTGGCGGCGCTGGCGGCTCCTGCCCAGGCTCGGCCAGCCGCCCCGCCGCTCAGCCCCGCCGCCGCCGCCGCCGCAGCCGCCGCCGTGGGTGTGAGGGGCGCGGGGGCGCTTCGACCCTTCCGGTCCGGCTCCCTTCGCCGCCGCCGCGGCGCCCGGCCTGAGCGACCCTCACGCCAACCAATCAGCGCGCAGGGACCCGGGCTGGCGCGGCCAATAGCGCCGGGGGGCGGGCCGCTGGGGGCGGGGGCGGAGCACCGGCTGGGGCGCTGGGGGTCCGCGGCCTCAGGTGCGGGGCGGGGCCCGCGGTCCCGGTGGTCCGGCGCGCGGCCGGGCGCGGAGCCGGCGGGGCCGCACCGCGGGGCGGAGAGCGGGCCTCGAGGCTGCAGGTGCAAAGGCGGGAGGTCTGAACGGGGACGGAGCAGGCCCGTTATGGGGAAGAGCCAGGGCTCGGCGTGTGACGGCCTCCGGGAGGCGGGACGGCGAGGGAGTGGAGAGCCGAGGCGGGGCCCCGGACTCCGCTGCCCGCTCTGAACGGGCTTCTAGGGGTGCGGCCAGAAATCGGGCCTGGGAAAGGGGGTGCTCTGGGGATGGCCGAGTGCAGACGGGTGTTCCTTGTCGGCCAGAGGCGGAGGGGAAGCAGGAACAGGCTGGGGCACTGGGGCCGGGGTCAGACCAGCCTCGGAGAAGGAAGGACAGGGTCATAAGTGGGAGGAAGGAGTGCCGTGCCCAGGGCTCCCTGGGGCTGGGGCCGCAGCCCTCCGGCCCCTCGATCAGGCTCCAGCAGGCCTGGGATCCTATGAAAAGGTGGGGAAGGCCGGAGTACTGGGTGTTGCCGCTTCTTTTGGATAAACTCCGGATCGTTTGGGTGAGCGAGGGTGGGCGCACGGCGTGAGAAGAGGAGCTGGGGGTGGGGCGCAGAGGTCCGTTAGTGGCGTGGGCGGGCTGTGGGGAAGGAGCAGCTGTCACAGGACGCCTGGTCCTACAGGGCGGTCAAGTGGGGGCAAAAATGGGGGAAAGGAGCAGGATTCTGCATGCGGGGAGGCCAGGGGGCAGGAGGATATGGAAAGTGGTGGCAGAATTTGGGGAGGGCGCCAAGCCTGTGATCCAGAGCCAGGCTGGGGGGGCACCAGAACCTCTACGGAAGGGTGGGGTAGAGGAGAGGAAGGCATCCAGCGTGGTATCCCTCTTGGGCTACACACACCTTGGCCACCAGAGGGAGTTTCCTGAACTTGAGCATGGCCTCGGTCCTGCTGGAAATCGCAGCTCCTATCCCTCCCCTCCGCCTCACCAGCCACCTGCTGCAGGTGCAAACAGAAAACGGGGAAGCAGCATTTCCACCATCAGGCTCCTGGGAAGCCAATGAGTCTGGCTGCCAGAACTGTGGTGGTTTTACCAGGAAGCACTTGTGGGTGCTTCCTTCAGAATAGGAAGGGGACACCCATTCCCAAACACCCCAGCCCTGAGTTCACAGCACTCACCCCCAGCAAAGTGAGCACCAAAAATCAGTGTACACACACACCTGTACGTATTTTATGTTGAGTTTTCTGAAAGAATTCTGCTTTTTTTGTTTGTTTGTTTATGAAACACAGTGAACAGAACTGAGGAAACGGGCCAGGCACTGGTCCATGCTTGGAAGAGTGTACAGAATTTTGTGAGAGGCCAAGACCTGAGGGGATCCTGCCGCAAGTGCGATGAGAATTTGGGGAGGACACATGAGCCAGGCTGACAGCTGACATAGCCTGCCAGGTGGGGAGGAGCAGGTGAGGAAGGCCTCGGTCAGGAGGAAGCCCAGATGGAGCTGGGCCAGTAGTTTAGGTGGAAAAAGCACTCAGCACCAAAGGTTCAGAAGTGAGGACCATGCTGATGGTGGATAGAGTGTCGGCCTGTGGACTGAAAGATCCCAGGTTCGATTCCGGTCTAGGGCATGTACCTTGGTTGCGGGCACATCCCCGGTGGGGGGTGTGCAGAAGGCAGCTGATCGATGTTTCTCTCTCATTGATGTTTCTAACTCTCTATCCTTCTCCCTTCCTCTCTGTAAAAAAAAAAAAAAAAAAAAAAAAAAAAAAAAATCAATAGAATATATATATATTTTTAAATCAATAAAATATAGTTTAAAAAAAAATAAGTAAGGACCTGCATTCAGGGAACCACATATCACCTGTCGTACTAGAGGTAGGAGAGTTATGAGGACCTTGAGGGGGTGGACAGCACTGAGCTGGCTTCAACTCACTGAAATGGTTTGATTAGCCCAGAGAGTTGTTTTTATCGCTTCCACTTGAAATATCTCAACTGTTGCTTTCACTTGATAATTAGACGCTCTGTCAACATGGGGCCTGCATTCCCAGAGGCAGTGGTCAGCTGGAACTGAGTGGCAGCTGTCATTTAGGTAAAGCTCCCAGTTTACCACAGTGCCCACCACTCCCTATTACCCACACCTGGCTGCAACTTCCCCCACCCCTCACTGCTGGCGCTGGGGGCCTGGCTGTGGAGGGAAGGACCGCTGGTGAGGAGTGCTAAGAAAGGAAGTGAGTGGTGTGAGTTGTGGAGATTACTAGGCCACATTAAGTTGCAGGGATGAGGGCTTAAGGCCACAAGAGCAGTGAGGCAGCTACTGAAAGACCTTTGTAAGAGAAGGTGAGGCTTGGCCTGGGCCATGACAGCGGGTGTCAAGAGGAAGAGACTGATTTTAAAACAATTTCAAAAGTTTAGGGAAATCAAAATCTCAAAGAGCGACCACTCCACACCCACTAGGATGGCTACAATGGAAACGACAGACAGTGGCGGTGATGTGCAGCGACTGGAAGTCTCATACTCAATTGACGGCAAAGCCAAACGGTATATCCACCTTGGGAAGCGGTGGCAGTTTCTGATGACATTAGACACACACCAGTTATACCCCACAGCTCTCCTATTCCTGGCTGTGTGTCTGAGAGGAAAAGCACACAGCGGTACGGGAATGTTTCTGGCAGCTTTGCCACCAATAGTGTGTAAGACTTCCAGTCGCTGCACATCACCGCCACTGGCACTGTCCGTCCTTTCCATTGTAGCCATCCTAGTGGATGTGGAGTGGTCGCTCTTTGAGATTTTGATTTCCCTAAACTCTTGAAATTGTTTTAAAATCAGTCCCTTCCTCTTGACACCCAGGCCAAGCCTCACCTTCTCTTACGAAGGCCTTTGAGTGGCTCCTGAAGCTGCCCTAAACACTCATGTTCTGCTCCCGTGTGTCCATAACCCAGTGAGTGGATGAACTGGTACTGCCATCCAGTGGGCAATTATCTGACAACGGGAAGGCTGGCCTGCTGACAAGAACACAAGTGGAGAAGTAACAAAAACATCATGCTGAGTGAAAGCAGTCAAACGTTAGGCTGCGTTGTCTATTAGTCCACTCAGGTGACTTTCTGGAAAAGCAAAATCAGATCAGTGGTTGCCCAAGGTCAAGTGGGAGCAGAGGAATGACTGCCAGGGGCCACATGGGAATTTTCTGGGATGGTGAGTGTACTCTATATTCTGATTATGATGGTGGTTATAGGACTACATACTCATCAAAATTCAGAGCTGTGCACATAAAAAGGTGACTTTTAACCTGTTAACCGAGCGGGACCTATAAATACATCAAACGTAAACAATATCGGGAACGGGTAGGATGTATGAATACGTCCTTGAAATATATGTTGCGCCCCGAGAGGGACGGTATATATTTTTTGTAATCTTTTTTTTTAATATTTTATTGATTTTTTACAGAGAGGAAGGAAAGGGGAGAAATAGAGAGTTAGAAATATCGATGAGATGAGAGAGAAACATCGACCAGCTGCCTCTTGCACACCCCCTACCGGAGATATGCCCGCAACCAAGGTACATGCCCTTGACCGAAATCGAACCCGGAACCTTTCAGTCCACAGACTGACGCTCTACCACTGAGCCAAACCGGTTTCAGCTATTTTTTGTAATCTTTATCATTGTTTGTAAAATTTATAATTTTTTAATTCGACGTGTCCATTTTTTTTGTCGGTATTCTTTTCTATTTATTTTTGTAATTTTGTATTTTCCTTTGTGCTTTATATATATAAATAAACGAAAATATATATTTCATTTATTTTCATTAAGTATAAATTAAAAAAATAATATGAAATTACGTCCTCCGGGCGTGACGTACTGACACGTCCTAGTGAAAGAGTGTGCGCCCGTTACAGATTGCGTCATTAAAAAGGGAACTCCCCGGTTAACAGGTTAATGTATGTGAAATTATACTAAAGTGATATAAAGGAAAAAAATTGTTTTAAGAGGTGGAATTGTCAAGTGTTAGGGGTAAGGTGAGGGAGGACAGGTCAACAAGGACACCAGGGCCCCTGCCTCGGTTTTCAGTGTGGGACCTCTGCCTTAGCCTGCTCAGCCTTCTGCCGAGAAGACCTTTTCCAGCCTGCACCCCAGCTGCCACCCACCTTCCCCTTGTGGTCCCGGCTGTGTACCCTCCGGACAAAAGCCACTGGCCCTTCCCTTCTGATCCCTCCGTCCCTCTCCTCGCCTGGACTTGGCTCCTTGATTGCACAGTGTCAGAGGCCCACCTCCCCATGCACAGGGGCCGATACCTGGAGAAGAGCATGCGGGAGGAAGGAAGAGGGGAGGGGAGTGCCAAGGGCTGACAGGTGTCCATCATTCCCCCTTCACAGGGCTGGGCTCCAACAGGGCTCCCCACTTAGTCATGCTCTTGTGGCCAAAGCATTCACTTCTCCAAGTCTCAGCCTTGTGAGGAGGCTGTGAGTGGCGGTCTCGGCCTTATGGGGGTGCTGCTAGGGGTGGGGTGCAGATCATGCATGCAGTGGGATGGGTGTCCTCATGCTGGCCTCCCCCAGTTCCTTCCTGAAGTCTTTACCAGGAAGGGGTTCAAGTCATGACAGTTTCAGTGGTGTGTTATAGAGGCCACACTGCACTGCAACCAATGGGGGCAATTTTTGAGGTTTGTCGCACAGGAAGGGGTGGGGCGGGAGGCGGGGTGGAGCTGGCCACAGGACTGCAGGCTGGAGGGCCAGCCCAGGACCTTGGAGGTCATGGGCAAGCTATCCATATGTTCTGCCCCTCTGTGTGTTGTCTTCCTTCTTCCTGTTTCATCTGCTCTTCCACCACCCACAGGGGATGGGTCCTCTGTCCCAAATCAAGTTTGAAAATCCCGGGGAAGGGCTCAGCTAGCCACCTGGGTAGGGCTTCTACTCCTGGGCCTGGCAGTCAGGCTCAGGAAGGACGTGGCAGGAGAAAAGGCAGAAACAGTTGGGAAAGGCAGGAGTCAGGGGTACTTTCTGGTGATAGGAAATAGGGTGACTGAGCCACGGGCACAGCTGAGGGCCTGCGAACTATGAAAACAGGCCTGTAGGGTGGCTCTGTGAGCAAATGCTGACTTCAGTGGCTCCCAGCCTGCCTCCTCCAGGCAGCTCACGGAGCACCAGCTCTGGCCCTTGCTGCTCTCTGGAAGCCTGGCCGGCCTTAAAGCCCGAGGAAAAGGCCTCTACCCCCCTCCCAACAAAACAAAAACAAGCCAGCCCCTAACTCATTGCTCAGCATGAATCTCACCGTCAATAGGCCCACCCGTGTGCTCAGAACTGTCCCTGCACCTTGAATCTGACGACAGTCCAAGGCGACGAGGCGAAGAGAGCCAAGAGAACTGAACAGAAAACTGCTTCTGGAAAGAAACAGACCATGTGGCGATGAAAATTCCCACAGGGGGTGGCGGTGGGAATCACCGTAGGCTCCAGAGAGAATGAAAAACTGGTGTGTCCTTGGAACGAGAACCAGCCATTAAAAAATTACTCATGCCCAGCTGGGTGTGGCTCAGCGGTTGAGCGTTGACCCAGGAACCAAGAGATCACCAGTTCGATTCCCAGTCAGGGCATATGCCCAGGTTGTGGGCTTGATCCCCAGTGTGGGGCATGCAGGAGGCAGCCAATCAATGATTCTCATTGATGTTTCCATCTGTCTCTTCCTCTTCCTTCCTCTCTGAAATCAATAAAAAAGATATATTTTTTTAAATTACTCGGCACACAAATGATGTCCTTGCTCTCTCAACTGATGTGGCCTAAAAGCAATCACATCCCAGTAGCAAAAGTGCAGCTCAAACCCAGGTGTATCCCCAGTAAAGGAAACGGCTGACTCCAGGGTCAGGATGGGATGTACAACATGAGCCAGGCTCCTGTAATGCCAGAAGTCAGGGTGAGCTTATAAAGGACACACGGGCAATCTGGGGCATGTCATAGGGACAAGAGCCAACTGAAAGAACTGGAACATTTTGAGCAACAAAATAACAGTGACTCAATATAAAATATCTGAGAGTTCATAGTAAAATAAATAAATGGAGAACAAAATATCTGAACCGAATTCCAAATAACTAATGGTGATACTCTCCTTTAGAGATGAAGCACAGCTCTCCCTGTATGTGGAGGATAAGCATGGTGACTTCCTTCCAAAGAGTTATGCATGGGGAGGGGGCAGGGAATAGAATCCTGACAACACTACTTCAGTCAGGCAACCATTTGCCATAGTGATAAGGCATGTAGTGCTCCTCTTATCACTATATCAGGGAGCATACCATTTGATGATGGTATAGTAGAGGGGCACTCTATTTCTTAGTCTTCCTTCTTAAAAAACATAACCCTAGTCTAACCTGAGAAAAGCATCAGATAGCCAGGCTGGTGTGGCTCAATGGTCAAGCATCAACCCATGCACCAGGAGATTGCAAGTTTAATTCCCAGTTTATGCTCAGTTTGTGCGCTTGAGCCCAACTAGGGGGTGTGCAGGAGGCAGTTGATCAATGTTTTTATCTCCATTCCTGTCTCTGAAATCAATTAAAAGGCATCAGACAGCTTTCCTC